AAAGCAAATATCACCGACGTTTCCCAATTAACCGAATTCGTCAATTCGATGCCATTACTTGAATACGTTGATTTCACTTCGATAGGTTGTCTGTCATTCTTGAACACCAACAATGGATTTATTTCTGGTCTTCGAAAAAACCATCCATTACACACAATTGAAATGTGCCATAATTTGTTGAAGAAATTGAGAGCTGTTGAAGGTTGGAAAATCAATGAAAACTATACCAGACGTTGGTATTACGCAAAAGATACTCCCAACAATGTCAGGCCTGATAGAGTCTATAGTAGAAAATTGGATATTACCCAATCTGGATACCAAAAAATGAGCAAAATATTTCAATATTATGCTTATGGCGTTTAATTAATTTTATAAATAATAATCAATGAATTTTATAATAGTATAAATACATCACATTATAAATATATAAATACACACCCACACACTATAAATATATAAATACATAAATAATATAAAATATAAATATATTACGAACAATTTTAGAATTATTTTTAATTTTAGATTAATTATTATTTATTATATTATCAACTAATTTTAAATTTCATCTTTAATTAATAATTGTATATAATCTGAGTTTTTTTATTTCCAAAATAAAAGTTTTATTGTAACAAAAACGTTTTAAAGTTTTTAAGTTGAACAAACTATAAAGATTTCTCATTCGATTAACCAATCACACTGCTCTTCCAGATTATGTATGCATGAATGAACTTGAACATTAAAAAATGCACGTTCTCACCCAGCCCCAAGATTTGATTTAATAAAGTCTCTTTGGGGCTAACTGCATTAAAATTTTACATATTAAATAATACCCGCAAGCAATGGAAAATATCACCACAATTTCCAAAAATAGAATTTCAACTTCATGGTGTCATGTGTAAAAATATTAAATAAAAATAAATGACTACTTTTGTTAACTTGATGATTTTCTTCACCAAAATTGGCCAATATCGGCCGAAAAACTTGGTCAACGAATTTTATTGTAATTAAATTTTATCATATGCATATCAGTGGTATTTATCTGTGATGATAACGCATTGACTTTGCTTTGGTCGATTGTTTCTGAAATAAAAACATTCTTTAGTTTCTATTGCTTTTTGTCCAAAAGATTGGCTAATTTTTTAATATCGGTCGGTAGTAATGAAAAACTCACTGGACAAAAGTATCTGTCGCACACCACATAATAAATATTAATCATTATGATAAATAGGACCCCGGACAATCATATTACATGCAATGATATTAATAATTTTAAAATTTTACATATCATTCTTTGCCAAATTTTTAGCACATCACATATCAAAAAACCAAATTTTACTCATTTAAGGATATGGCATCATAATGGTTTAATATCCTTATTGAATTAAAAAGGCAATACAAATGAATTAAAAAGGTGAAGATTGAAGAGAAATTGCAATTCATCAATAATATCAATAATTTTTTTATTGAAAAGGAAAAACTATTCTATATATGATTTCTTCCCTATCGCCTGAATAATAAATTACAATAATTTTAATGTTAATGATTTTCTTATTATCCATCACTATTATTATATTAGTTATACTAATGGGTCCAGATAATAATGAGTCTTTTTCAATTATAATCTTTAAAAATAATATAAGGTTTTCCTTATATTATTAAAATACCGAGTCATTTTTTTTTATCCCACATTGGTGTCAAGTTAGCCAATCGGAAATTTGTATCTAAACACCCCACCTTTTCAAAATCAACACGATTTGGCTTTGATCCTCAATATTGGCATATGACTTTTGAAAACTTTACCCAATATATTCATATAATAATAATAATAACTTGTGGTGCTTACCCATAAAAAAATCATGCAACATTACTCAAATTACATATGACTGGGCAATGTTGAAAAACTAGTACAAATGCGAAAACTATCTGCAGAATTTTTCAACGCAAAATTTTTCCTACTTGGACCGTTCAAATTTAATTATTTGAAAATTAAGAGGGAGGAAAGAGAAATTTAAACAGACAAAATAAAATAAAAAACACCAATGAAAAGCCTTCAATCACTAGAGTGATCGGCAGAGAAAATTATTTTTTCAAAAATGTTTTGCAGTGTTGTGCCATTTATGCTTCCAATAAAATTTCATTGGAGCATTCTAATAAATTCCAATTGGAATTGGAACATTCCAAAAGTGGTTCCAATGAAGTTAACCAATGAAATTTCAATTACAGTGACACACAAGAATTTTATTGGTCAATATCAATTGTAGATCTGCATTGGAACATTCCAATAGCGTTACAATTTTCCAATTGCACAACACTGATGTTTTGTTGCACACATAAGTTTCTCCTTGAATACTTTGTTACACGATTAAATTACGTGATTTATATATAATTGTTCGTTTTATTCTTGAAATTTTGAGGAATGTTAAAAAAAAATTAAATTTTAAACGACCTTATTAATTTACTAATAGAAAATGTTTCGAACTTAAGGATCCTAAGGGATCCTATTATATACTATATAATTAAATCACTTTCAAAACTTCCTGTCACACTAAATTAACTTTTTAGTATTAAAAATTTTTTCCAATACGCTATGTAATACATTTTCTTTTTTGGATCAGTAAGTAATCTTTAAAAAGGTAGGAGGTGGCTTTGAAAACATACAAGTTCAAACGTAATAAGTCAATAACAACAACCACTAAATCTTGAAAATAACAGCTATTATTGCTCAACCACCAGATTATTTTTAAAGTATTTGGAGCATTGTTGTTATTTAATGTATCATTCATTATTATTATTAGTTTATATTTAAAAAAAATGTTAATGAGCAGACATAAAGATCCTTGAGCAATACAATTAGAACTGTTGGTTTATTTCATTCATTAAAAAGAATTTTATTAATACAGATTATTAACATTGTATTAATATTTGTTTCCTTCAAAAAACGGATCAATGGTTAAACGACTAATTATTGTTACGCAACAACCATCAAAGAAAAAATATCAAAATACCTAATTGATATATATTATTAATGGTAACAGGTAATGATACTATTATTATTAATAATTTCTTCTATCGTGTTATATAACATTGTAATTAATTTTTCCAGTTGGCACCGCGCAAAAATTCTTTAACGGTTAATTTAGTCACGTGAAATTTTTTAGCTGGCAACGATAAAACGAATCATTTAACTGATAATAATAGTAATAGTATATGCTATATTATACAACATATTCACTTGGGTGGTTTTGCTGATCGTTTATTTTGCCTATGATGATTTGATACACTATCCAATCCAATTAAAAAAAAATTTCTCTACCAGCTTTATTTTTCCTTGTAATGATAATAATAATAGTAGTTTATTTTTTTTCTACCAGCAAGTAGTCCTTTGTTCATTATGAATTTGAGCATTCGAACTACATTGAATGTTTGTTCGAATAAAATAAATAACTCAAATAACGAATAAAAAGAATAAATTCGAATTTAGTTTGGTGTCAACCTCTAATTTTGAATTTTATGTATATACTATTAAGGTAATACATTATTTTTTAAAAATGACCGTCATATAATGTTATTCTTCCTGCTGTTTTCTGCAAAAATGATCAACAATGTCAGTGTCAAGCTTTGGTGACAGATATTCCGGATCAAATATTATTTCCAAGATGGTTTGAATCCATAGCATATTAAAAGCAGTTTGCTCATTGTTGGTAAATGTTGCTTCAATTATTTTCGCCTGATTGATAATTATGCAGATCAATAAGCATAAACAATTGTTGCATCTCTGACCGCTGAATGTAATTTTTTAGCCTCGAGAGAATCTTCCCGATAATCTTGCGATGAAGGTGTTCCATTAGTTGATCATCATCAGTTAGCTGATTGTTAAAGTCATCTTGCGCAACAGCATTAACCTTGTATACATGTAGTTATTTTCATTATAAACATCTTGCGAAACAGCATTAACTTCATCTAATATTTACATCAAAACCGTCTCTAGTTTCTTTTTATTGAGGCGCTTAAAGACTGTCCAGTTCATATATTACCTAAAAGGTGAAAAATTAAATAACGGAAGAAATGAACAAATCAATGGCTGAAATGAACAACAAATCAATAGCCGAAATGAACAAATCAACGGCTATGAAGGAATCAATAATGGCTGAAATGAATGAAAGAATCAAGATATATTGTGTGTGAAAGAAAATAAGCCACAATAATAATAATGGTAATTTTGAATTTAACATCAATTTCTTTATATAGGAAGTACTATTACTGGGTGACTTCGTCACTAGCAGTATACATACGTGTATTTATTTATTTACAGCAAAATTTAAAAATAAAAAAATCTTAACCATATCCCCAATATAAATGCATCCACATCCATATCCATAAATAAAAAAACCTAATTTTTCACAATAGAGCTCCTAATATGATACAGTGTGATTCAAAAAAAATGGTGGTCACAAAAATATCACATATCTCAACAATTACACAACATAGTTGAATGAAATTGGATTCATTTGAAAGCTTTATCATTTACTTTATTAAATAATAAAAAATAAACATGAAATGCTATTGCCAATTTTCTCTAAAGCTAATTCATAGATTTTTTTTAGAACTTTGCTAAATTTTTGTCCCTGAAATTTTAACATGGAATTTTTTAATGATAGCTCTGACACAAGCATATACATAATAATTATATAAAAAATCATACCAGTCTATAGCAAAAGTTCTGGAGATTATGTATATAAAGTTTCACACTTCCAGATTTTCTAGAATTTTGTCAATTGAAAATAAAAGGAATTTGATTATTTGAAAAAACCATTCAAATGTGTAAATTTCTTTAATAATTGCTCTAAAGCCCACATAACAATATACTTCAAAACTTTTCTATATTATAATCCAAGATCTTCCAATTCTCTGGTATAATTTTTATTACATAATTTTGGCTACTTTTTCATTAAAAACAATATTTTACAAACCACCATTTTTTTTGAATCACACTGTATGCATCACTTACATTTCGAAAAATTGTCACGGAATGATAAAAGTAATTGGTTTTCACAAAAACTAGCAATTCATTAAACCAACAAGCATTGTTATAATATGTGTTTTAGGATCAAACGAACCTGAAAATGAGACCATAATCATATAAATGTTTAAAAAACCACAATAGATGGCTGTTTTATGAGAATCTGAGGGTCAATAATACCTCTTTTACCTTTTTGTACTGATCCATGTGCAATTACATTCACATGCCTTGTAACTTGTTCTTCAGCAGATGGAAAAAAATATTTAATGTTGTGAGTTTTGTTTCATTATGTTCTTTAGACCAAAACATAAAACTCCTTTCTAAAGTTCACTTTCATCTTCGTTCTCAATGTATTTGTCAAAGTTTGCTAAATCACTCGTATTTAAGGATATTGAGTAATTTAGACCTCCGAAAATAAGATCCACAAATCCTAAACGATTCTGGGGTTCGGTTATCAAAAGTTCAGTAACCGTATGCAACACTTCCTCAGTTGTAGTAGCCTGATCGCGATTTAAAGAATTTTATGAGTGTTTCTTTTAAAACGGCTATATCGGTCTTTGAAGATATCAGTGAATTGGCAGATTCTTTAGAGACGGTATCTGTCGGTTGTAGAAATCCATTATCATTTTTACAATTTCTTTGGACTTTTCGGTTAAAGTAGGATTTGGAGGTGGATTTCTTTTCTTCTCATTTGTGCTGTCCATGATGTCTATATTTTCCCGCTTTTTCCCTGCTGATTTATTCATACCCACCACACCTTTGTTCCATATATCATTTGCATCATTAGACTTCATAAAAAGCGAAAAACGATTCTGTTAAAATCGGAATGTACACACAGACAATTCCAACATGTATGTTTTAAAGTTTCTTTTGTTGTCGTAAAGTAAGGTGCCAACTCCTTTTCCAGAGTCAGTGGACCTCTCAAAGAAACCTGGGATGGCCAGATGCAGGGAACCACATCCCTATTGTGACTGGTGCGTAGGCAACAAGAGCAAAAGAGCCTGACAAAAATCCCCATAACAATTCCCTGGCCAGGCCGGATTTTTTTGAAGAGATTGAATATGGATTGAATTTATATTCAATTTCAGGCATTAAAACTAAATCCAAACTCTGGTGACATTGGGTTATTTTGATTTGTAGGTTTGTTGGTAAAGTTGGAAACTAAACAAACGTAAAAAAATCCTTTTTTTTTCAGTATTCTTTCATTGTTTCAAATTATTGTTTATTTTCTTGACTGTTAGTTAATGGGATATGTCGTCATCGATTTAAATGCGCTTCTTATTTGACTTTTTGGTTCAGTCACTAGCAAATCAATTTAATTAAAACTGGTCTTGGTTTCATTTTTTGCAGTTTCAATTGAACCATATGATTTATAATCGATATAATATACTATGTAACAATTTCAAGTAATTTAATAAATTTAATTAATTCAAGCAATGTTAAAAAACCACTTGCGCGTTATTATTTGTAACACCAATCACTTTTGTCTGAAGGAATTTGAATGTCTGATGTATATATACTTTGATAACAATAATATGTCATTATACCGAATACTATGTCCTGCAAAAAATATTCCTGAATTTGTATCAAAAATAATAGACGTTGTAGACTACACGTAATAAAACAGCAGATGCCTTATGCTTGACGGGTTATATTAGGTGATGTTTGGCTTTCCAACGCCAAGGATTGTTAAATTAATGATCTAGCATTGTATGAACTTGCCAATCACTCAAAGGATTATCATTTGAGTCAACTTCGTTTTGGGAATTCTATTTCTCTCGTGGGGCGAAAAAAATAAGTATATAATAAGTAATTTTGAAAATTCAAAACCGTCGAATAACACTAACTACCCTAATGATAATTGAGGTTGTAGTCTATATCTGTTTTATCTTGTTACCACGATGGTACTATTGCGACACGTTATTATTATGTCCATATAAAAAATTAATTTCCGTTTGAATATAATATTTTTTCTTTTATTAACAAAATTCAAAACTAAAAAAAGAGTGTATAAACCTAATGCTGCTAATCTAAATTTACATGAATCATACAAATAAATAATATAAATATGCATAAATATATATTGAATATACATAGTTAACCTCAATCAATCAACCAACCAAATCCAATAGTAATATACAGTATTATGTACATGTATTTTTTATAGATTTTTCTTAAAAAACTCATCCAACAATTCTTTTAATTTATCTTCTGCAACTTTGTTGCATCTCTCTACCAATAATAACATGGTTTTAATGAATTCAACCATATTTATATATGTTGGATCTTCGCCAAGAAGATCACAAACTGTCCAACTTGCAATTGTTCCTGTAACAAGATTTAGATTTTTTGAAAGCATTTCTCTATGATTACTATCGTAAATCTAAATAAAATTTTTAAAGAAAAAATTAGATTTTTTTCTGAGAATATTATTTGCACCGAACGAAATAAATTCAATATACCTCGATGGTATAATAAAATGTTCCATAATCAGTTTTACCCTGAATTTTTTTAGAATTCTTTTGTGGATTAAGAGGTAATATTTCAACACGATTAACTTCAGCTATAAAAGGAAAATGTAAATGGTATTTGTTGACAGTGATATTTTTAACTTGATTGACTTCCAAGAATTCAGGCACATTCTCGAATGTGATTATACGAGTTGATGGACTAATTGATACTTTTTTCATAAATGTATTAAATGGTCTGACATCATGTCGAAGTGCTTTTCTTGTAGAAATACTCATAATAAAATCAGTTTTACTAATAATAATAATAATAATGTTTATAAATAGATATTCAAGTGTGCATACACGTATATATTATGTATATGACCATATAAATGTTTGCTTACCGATCCAAAACGGACCATTCAACATCTGCTACACGATTCCATTTCATCATAACTTTTTCTAATGAAACATAATTCATATTAATATACATGGTTACGGGAGTATATTCACCGTATAGTGCATTTCTCGCATTTGCATCAATTTCAAAATATTGATTGGTGTAGTATGCTTTATTGTCAAGCACTTTAGTGAATCCATTATAAAAGATTTCTTCGTGCGTGGCACTATTTTTTTTTTAAAAAATATTTTATTAACAATTTTTGTAATATTTTCCAGGGATAGAAATAAATAAAAAATTGAATGACTTACATCTCGGTGAAACTTGATCGAACACATTTTTCTTTAATAATATCTTTTAATTCATAAAATTCCCAAAGTTTTGATGAAACTTGTGGCGGAACATCGGAAAACAAAACTTTGCCCAATCTTTTTTCAATTAATTTATATATTATTATTTTTGAATTCAAATAAAAATTAAATTTCGATTAATTAATTAATTAATTCAAATCTCAAATCATACCTTCCTGAAAAACGGATTTCGCCTCTAAATGCTCGAACATGCTCCATTCTAAATTTTTATTTATTTATTTAAGGATCAAACTTTTCCATAATTAGTTTATCACTATTTTAAGTATTTAAATCAGTGTCATACCCTTCAATCAATGCTTCTTTTGTTCGAACAAAATTATAATCTCTAAGCCTAGTGTCATCATAAAAATCGAAAAAAAATTCTTCTGTATATATTAATAAATTTACAAATACATAAATATATACATAAATAAATTTGTGTACATTTTTCCAGGCGTAACATTTGATAGATTTAAAGGGTGAGTTTGTTCAGGACTTTTCTGCAAATCAATCTTTTTAGTTTTGTAATCCATATCTTCTTTATATGGTTTTTCATCAAAAATATCAGTATATCTTTTAGATTCTTTTGAAATTTGAAAATTTGTGTCTTGAGTTTTAGTATTCCACAAAATTGGTCCAGAAGAGGAGGAAGTGGAAAGTTGACTTGTAGTATTTGCCTCGGTATATTGAGAGCGTTTTTTTCTCAATTCAGATATAGACTGAATTGATTGTTTATTATAATTATAATAATTATAATAATAATCTCTTCTAGTGGTATTGTCAATAAATTGACTTGTTGATGACGTGTTTGGTAAAGCAGGAAAGTGTGATCGAGAATTTTGTTCAAGGCCAGCATTCCAATGAGATTCTTGTGGCAATGGATTTTGTGACTCACTATAACTTTCATTATTTGCGGGCGATAGTGGTGTTGATCGAATATCATTACTATTTTGAGTAACTATAACTTTATTTTTTCCTTTAAGAGATTCTGACATTGTTGATAATACTGATGGTGGTAATGTTGTCATTGATGAAGTTGATGCTGCTGGAGATGATGGAAAAAAAAATGGTGATGATTGATCATTATTTAACGGAACAGCCGATTTATTGATTGGTGATTGATGTGAATTTTTTCTAATTACATTACTACTATTATTATTACTATTATTATTACTATTATTTACATTTGTAGAATCAGATTTTTGTGAACTTGGTATTTTATATTTGCCAGTTTTAGGGTCTAGGATAGCATGTATAAGCAAATATACATTTTGGTCTGCGTGTGATTTAATAGTCATTTTAAAATATCCATGATTTTTCAACGGAAGGAAATATAGTTTGAAATGAACATCTTGATTTGGATAATGTACAAGTGGAACTCTTTTTGGTCTGAAATCAGACCGAAGCTAATGTATGTATATATTATATTTAAATGTTTATTATTGAAACTCAAAATTATAAAAGTAAGAAAAGTTAAAAATAATTACATAGATTTGTTCCAATGTCTTGAGTCTATGAATAGCCTTTTCGATATCTCGTCTTGTCCCACCTGTAACACGAATTTTCTATTTATAAATAAATAGAAATTGGTTGAATATATATTTTATACTGATTTAAAATATTATTTAACAAAAGTAAATAAATTACAAACCCTACTATCAAGAAACAAATCTCCAGTCACATTACAATCTTTACAAATATCTTTCCAATAATCAAAAGGAGTATTATTAGCTCCACGATGATGGCAATTTAAAACCTTTGAAGGATCATCAACTCCATTTGAGAAGTAAAAATAGTCCTCCAAACTCCCCACATATTCTTCATCTTCCTCATCCTCATCCTCCTCTTCAAATTTTTTGTTAAAGATTAATGAATGATCGTGATGTGGAAGTGGTGGTGGAAGACCGACAACCAATGGATCTCGATCAAATTTGGAAGGTTTTTTTTCTCGTGGAGGAACTGTGAGAACTATTTTGGCTTCTGATGACTTTATAGAAAGAAGATGATGACGAAGAAAAAGAGATGAGGAGTGATTGAATTGATCTAAACATTGATTTAAATTAATATTATAAATTACTTACTTTAGCCATTAATATTTCGGAAAAATCTTCACGCCTATAGGAACAATGATGATGATTATATAATTATACAAGTAAATATAATTGTTGTTTAATGATTTATTTAATATCAATAGGATGATACAATAAAACTTACGCCCTCTCCACCGAATCATAATCGATTCCAATTATTTCAAAAGTCTTTTGCCATTCAACAGAAATTTAATTAGCAAGAAATTAATTTAAAGCGAACGAATTGAAAAATGACCAAACAAAATATAATGAATAAGATGACAAGAAAAAATTACATTTTTTGCAGAAGCATGTTGAATTTTGACTTGATGCCTGTCCTCAACAGCTCTATATAAGGAATAAATGTGTTTAATCAAATCATCAATCAGTTTAGACAAAAAACAATAAATATAATGATTATTTACTTTGATAATGTTAGTATTTCTTCAATTTGATACACAGCCCATTCCCAAATGGTATGAAGAGTGTATAAAACTTCATTTATTTTTCCCAATTAAAAGGTGTCGTCAATAATGAATCTGCGAATAAGATTTATCGAAATATTTTTATTTTTACCTTGCTCAGGCATGACCTTTTTTACAAAAAAAAAGAATATTTAATATAAGTTAAATTTATATAATTAAGCAAGAGAAATATAATTTTTCTTTAAAGATAAATTTAATGATCACACGACCTTGCTAAGGCAGGCTGCGGATCAAAGGTTTGTTGCACGGCGTGTCTGCGTATACTAAATACGCGTAAATCGAAAGTATGTAACACGTATTAATATGGACAAGAATGTTTTAGAAACCTTCTTTAATAAAATAAAAAAAAAACAAAATGGAAAGAGTAATCCAATTATCAAGAGAATTTAAATCTATGCAAAAACACAAATGACCAATCAGAAACAAAATGTTGAACAATTTAGAGGGTAACCGTTGTAGCGTTTTCAGAGAAACATTTAACGATCCCTTTTCAGGACCCGATCTTATAAAATGTTTTATGTATCATCCTTTCCCGGGTATATATCAAAGTATATTGTTTAATTTCACGGAAGCCCTTGCAAAAAGGTTGTGAAGCTTGTGATTTATAAAACCGTTTATTACTTTATAAAGTTGATATATGCGATTCGATTCTCCTACCAAAAGATAATATACAAGAACCCGATACCCTTGTGTCTTTAAATTAATATATTTGTTGGGACTTATTCCAAGATCACATTTACTGTAGTTTATCTAATTTTACTTATTATGTACATTGATTTCAGGAACCTAAGCTTTTTATTATTTAATAAAGGGTTGTTTTATACAATCAACAAATATATAAAAGGCTGTGCAAGAGAAAAAAATAGAGATTGAAACTCCGAACAGTATGGGTTAATCGGAAAATTAAATGACAAAAGGCTGTGTGGTATTATTTACGTTCTTTTTATTGGACGGGGGTTCTTTTTGAGAATATATCTTGTCCTGATTTGGAGAGTGCTTGAAAATATTCATGTGGTTCAGCAACCTGTTCTTTAATGTTAAGCAATCACAAGCACAGCCTATTTCTAAAAAGTCAATGGTCTAAACTCACGTGCGTGAAATTCAAACCCCATATTTTATCAACAATAATGTTGATATAGTAAAAGGTTATTAATAAAATAATAATAATAGAAAATAATAAAAAATGTGGTGATCATTTTATCTGTTTTTTTGTAATTTTGAACAAATTATTTATTTTACACTTAACAAAAACTTGGCTTGGTTTATTTGGTTAGTTTGTCCTTTTTAAGTGGTCTGATTAGTTTTGGGATCATCATCCAACAGTATGTAAAATATGTAATTCTTTTAACTCTTATGAAAGATCATTTTGTTCGACTGGTTAAGATTATCTTTTGTTTAAAGAAAGCCTGAATGATTAATAAAGTTATAAAGGAAATTAGATTGCAAATTCAAGAGCAAGTTTTTTAGATAAGGCCAAGGTTCAACTTGAGCTAGCTCAGCTCATCTCGTTTAGATCTGTAACTCCAATTATTCTATATATGTATATATATATATAAATTAACACCCAGGCAAGACGTTATAATCACATTATTTATATTTGACCAATTTGCTAAATTTGATTATTATGTTTGCATATATTCTCGGCTCATAATGAAAGAACCAATCGATGATAATGGTGATGATGATGAAAAAAAAACCAATTTTTTAAAAACTAAAAGAATTTTGACCAATCTCCCAAATACGAATCTTATGATCTAAAATAATAATTTTATCTTTTAGTTTTCTATTTTTTTTTTTTTCTCTTTGCAAAATTAAAAATATAAGATCATCAACCTGTATAACCAGCAAACAATGTAACACCATCCGAAGACCAAGCCAACGAAATACAATTTGGTTCTTTTGAACTTTCACCAGTATCCATGAAATGAGGTTTTAAATCATCGACAATTGACTTTGTCTCCAAATCCCAAACTCTGATTATAGAGCCAACAGCTGCACACAACCAATATCGATCTGGACTAAAAGCCAAAGCATTTATAATATTTCCTGCCAATAAAGAGTACAAATGTTTTCCCTCGTTAAGATCCCACAACATTGAGATACCATCTTTACCACCAGATGCACAAAGTGATCCGTCAGGTGATACAGTGACAGTATTGATGTACCCAGAATGTCCATAATGATTTATTTTCAACTTTAATGTATTGAGATCCCATACCTAATTCATTTATAAATAATTAATATTGCACATATATTCTCAAACACACATACACACATACACACACGCACATATACATACACGCACCTTTACACATTTGTCCCAGCCAGATGACACAATTACAGGATTAGCAGGATTTGGAGAAAACCTAACGCACGAAACCCACTCAGTATGACCATTTTCACGGATAGTATATTTACAATCACCAAGTGTGTTCCATAACTTGATGACTTTGTCTCTTGCCCCTGAAACAATTTGTCGATTATCGGGCGAGAAAGATACTGACAAAACATCATTCTAGTGCGAGACGAATTGACGAGTAGTTCGCCCAGCATTCAAATCCCACAAACGAAGAGTTTTATCCCATGATGCAGAGAGTGCAAATTGACCATCGGAAGAAATGACAACATCTTGTACAAAATGATTGTGTCCGGTTAAGGCTTTGTGCGGTTTGCCATAAATATCATCTTGTGGCGTCAAATGCCAAATAATAACAGTTTTATCTATGTATATGCATTTCGATAAATAAAAGGGAGGAAGTGATTGATTGATGATTGATCGATCAATCAAAATTAACTGGTTAATCGATTAATCAAACAAACATACCACGAGAAGCTGATAGAAGCTTGTTAGATTTTTCTGCAGTGGTTGCTAATTTTTTAATTTAATTGATTGGAATTATTATTATTGTTATCGTCGTCGTTATTTTTCGAGTCAATGTGAAAATTTCAAGAGAACAACTAAAATTGCCTACCGATTGCTGTTACCCAATTAGAATGTCCTTGACGAAAATTCAAGAATGAAAATATAATATTATTGTTATCATTATTTGAACGTGCGCGATCAATAATATTTTATTTATTTTTTACCTTCAAGTGTTGCACGAAATGATAATGTCTTGCTCATTTTTAGTATTAGTGTATTAGTGTATTAGGAATAATTTCTTGAACGAACGATTTCTCAAGAAAAAAAAATTTTTTTTTTTTTTTTGCAAAAAATTATTTTATTTCGTAATAATAATATATTTAGTCAAATAAATAGAAATTATTATTAGTCAAAAAAAATTTTTGTAACCACAATGTTAAGTCATTCGTGCGGCCTTACTGGCGGCGGTTAAGATACCAGATTTTTTAAATCAATCAAACAATCAATGTCAGATATAAACTCATAAAATCAAGTTTTTATTTTATACTAAACTAAGAACATTAATTAATCTATTAGTGAGTGAATAGTGATGCATGTATGGAAAAAACATTTAATTATTATATTAATTGAATAAAAATATTATTATGAATTAAAAAATTATTTTTTCTAATGTAAAATAAATAAAAAATTATTAATTAATCAATAAATTAAAGAAAAACGGTTAAGCTGACAATGAATACTGTGAATGCCAAGATTCCATTTCCTATAGCGTTAACTTTATCGCCACTGTTAGTTTTTGCAGTTGGTGTAGCAGTTGGAGAAGCATCATCAGTATCTGGAGGAGGTGGGAGTGGTGATGATGTATCGACACCAGTAGGGATATTAACTGGGGTAGTTACGACTGAAGGATATACATAAGTTCCAGTTGCGCTTACACTAGCTGATGCTGAGATTCCAGTGGGTTCTTTTCCTCCTTTTTTTGGTGTTATAGTCTCTCGAGGGGTGCTAGTGCTAGTGCTGGTGATGGTGACGGGGGCGGGGGTTGCACAATAGGCTAACACAATAAGGAAGGAGGGGAAGAATGATTGATAAGAAATGAGTATTTTATTCTTTAAAAGTGAATTGAAACAAATTATTATCATATTATATTATATTTAAAAATAAAACTTACCAGTATCAACTATTAAAAGTGCAAGAAACAAACAGACAATGAAAAAGGTTGACTTCATTTTTAATATATTTCCAAGATTTTCAAATTATTTGTGATTTTATTCTTTTTATTTGTGTTTTTTATTTTTTTTTATTTTTATTTTTTGGAAAAAAATTCACTTTATTTATAATAGATAGATTATATGTTGATTGATGTTGTTGTTGATTGATATATGAATTCGTAAATTTAATTTTTATTCATACAAAAAATTTAAAATTTAATTATTTGTATGAAATATAAATTAACATTATTTCGTCATGAATTTTGAATACAAAAAAAAAAAAATTAAACTCCCGAGCCGATTGAGAGGTGGCCTGGGAACAACATATATAAATTCATTATTAATTACGGGGCCTTTACAATTATGGTATTCATCAAATATCGTCATTCTATCAAATTAATATCTTATATTCTCAGGGAACTAAATAATCTTTCACAAGCCTTCTTCTATGTAAAATCAAAAGGCATTGACAATTTAAGCGATTTTTAAATTTCTATAAATGAGATATATGCGTTTTAGAAGTAGGTCGTCTTGGTAAATGTGGACTATAGTTATGAAACAATCTTGATGATTTTTATTTATGAATTTTTAATTAACATTAATCGTGTCTTAACTTTTATTGGCAAAGGTAATTCTTACGAAAAAATTTAAGAAAATAATAATAATATTATTATTATTATTACTATTACACTTCAAACACTGGGATTCATCAAGTTGTGATTGTTTTCATTGTACTTGAATTACCGACAATTATTTGTATTCAAGGCTCATATCAAGATACATTCGATAGAGTCATTTATTTAAATGGACTAATGAAATAATATTTAAGGTGAACTTTGATTGGATAAATGAAAATATCGGACGGTTTTAATACCATATTTTAGTAATGATCTTTGCAATATTTAATGCTTGGCAATGACCAAATCGTAATTAATAATCAAAATTTCAGTAACCTTAAAAGAAAGATGGCATATGCGTGATTTACAAATTCAAATTGGCTAATCAGAATTTAAATTCAAATTCACAAGATTTGATTTTAATATTGAAAAAAGAATCAGTGCGACGATAGAGCTCGTGATTGTCAATTGATTATGGGTACCTGTTCTCTACGACATTGATACGATTGCTGAATCAATCATTTTAAATAGTAATAATCGTTGTAGAGAATATTAGAAGGTGAATTGGAAACTAGTATCTTACCAAGGGAAATCGTTAGTATTGATGGTAAATCGTTATCAACTAATCAATAACACTGGAAGAAAAGCTACCTAAAAGTTGAACGGGTTTCTACAAAAAAAGAACAAGTGTGTGTAATCTAAGACTCGGATATTCGAATATCAAGACTGACGTTAATTAGCATAATTTTGTATGTTCGAATATCTGTAATACTTTTTAATAAAAATGTCTTCAGTAAATAATGATGATGATGCAAATACTAATGAAACAATCTTGAAACTTTGACAAAAAACAAAAGACCTAAAGAAAGTTTTATTTGAAATCATTTTATTGACAAAGTAGGTAAATGATTCCTAAATGGATAAACTATTTAATTAATCTATTAGAAATTTACAATTAATAATATTTGAATGCTCGAGTGTTTGAAAGTGTTGTGGATATCCAAATATGGGAGAGAATAGCCTCGGATTTGCATTAGTGTCAAAACTAAAATAAACCTATGTAACAATAAAATAATAAAATAAAAATTATTAAACAATATTATACAACAAAACATTTGTGGCTTTCTCGTCAATCAAAAACTTCAATCAAACGCTTGTCACCTCGTGGATTGGGTTCATGTCAATTTAAAGATGATGGATAATTAATTCAGTACTGTTTATGCTGGCATACGGATTAAAGGAATCGTTACAAAAAAGTAGATTGTTTAATGGTGCAAAGTTATTGGGAAAAGTAAATATGTATCAAATGCTTGCATGATTCAAATGAACTCGAAAATAGTTTTTTTGAAGAAAGTTTGTTTTTAAACCAAATAATAGTTATTCGATGATTCTAAATTATCATAAATATGGGAATTTAAGAAAGGGTTAAATTAGCTTTAAAAGATAAAATTTTATTAGATTATTATATATTACATGCACACAATAGGTTTGCGTGGCCATATATGACACCAAAATTATTTTGACTGTTAGTAGAATCAGTGCAATAAAATCTGTTAGAATGTTTATATAGAAACATTTTTAGGACATCCACCATTTGTTATAACTCTGACTTGATTTTGAATATATGTAAAGGATTAATACCACCAATATTACCAGGAATGCAAATGTATTGAATTGTTCAACAATTATTTCTACTATAATAATAAATAAGCAATCCCGATAATGATGCTCATTAGCACATATCATACAAAATATTAGATAAAGATATTGTAAAATCAAAGGTATTAATTAATATTAAAAAGTAATAGTAGCCATGGTGCTTTAATTGGATCTGTATATCCATTAATAACTATTATTTGTTGATGACATTTAAATATCGGAACTTTTTTATGCAAACCGAAGCTGCTTTCAGTTTCGGCTCGGTTTTCGGTTTGGGCCGAACTTTATTTAGAAGAAATTAATTATGGAATGCGTTAATCAAGGCTGCCTGTCAATTTAAAATTTTAATTTCTGATAATAAGAAACAATCATTTTTAATGATTCGTCGTTTAACGCTTTACGAATTTCACATTGTATATTAAATAAAAGCTATTCTACAAGCTAAAATTAACTCGTTTATACAAATCATGAACTCGGATAATAACTGCGATATGGTTTTGTTGTTTTACGTGATTTTGCGCGTCGTAAACTTCAAAGCCAAAAATAAAAAAACCAGCGAGTCAATCAATAATACATACCAAGTAAAAAGTTGTTCTATCCTAGACCTTTGATTTACTTTCTATATTAATATTGAAAATAACAATGCTCCTGAACGTTTTTTCAATCTCATTATTTTTATAATTATTAAAGCTTCTTAATGAACAGCATTTCATATTGAAGGCTCTTCTCTACATAAAACCACGGCTATTCAAAGGTGTAAAATATTCTAAGCTTTCGTATGGCCATTGCTTTATGGGGAGTGTTGGTTAATAAGTTTTAGAGATATTCACCAAAAATAGTTTTATAAACGCTTTAATACTGGTTATGTTCTATAATTTTTTTTACCCATTCAACAAAAAATTTTTAAATAAAAGAACCAAGCATATTGAAAATAGTACTCGCAAAATAATATGCAATATTTACTATTATAACTGATATATTATATTTACAATTATAAAAACATTGTTATTAATAAAGATTCTTTATGTCTTTAGGAATTTAGTAATTTTTTACTATCTCTGACCTCTTTATTCATTTAATTATTTTCCGTCAATATATAATAATATATGTCAATAGAAGAGAGGAAATTTAATGATTATTATTGGCCGTTTACTACCTAAATGGGTACTTTTATTGCTATAATCAGAATGTAACACTGAATATGTTCTCTAATTTAGAAATCACCCATTCAGATTATAAGCCGGCGACTCCAACTCGAAAGCTTGCTCCAATTGACCATCATCAATGGACCGGTATCATGTCCAACCCTGGTAAATCCCAATGTTACATATGATCGGCAATTCGCACATCAATATCCTTGTTCAAAGTTGATATTAATTTAATTTCTTCAATTTTTGTCATCCTTGGCGATAAATATGAACTTCGTTAACCATTCTTAGTACTTAGAATGACAAAAGGAAAAAAAAATATAATGCTCATAGCAGGATAAAAGATAACGATAAAGAAAACATTAAATAGTAATGATAACGGCGAATTGGGAGATATAATAATAATAATAACAACAATAATAATAGCAATAGTAGTAATAATAATACCGGCAAGCTTAGTACCATCTGGGATCAACTGAGATTTATTTACAAAGAAAATGAAAAAAACTTAATAAAACAACCGAATTCATAAAAAGCATGTTATTTGTCTAGTAAATTATTTGATAAAAAATTTTATCCAAGTTCTTTGCCAGCTAAGGTTTTTTCCACTGGCTGACATCATTATATACAACTATTGAATAATTGATAAATGTTCATCTGCATATTTACAAAATCTTGTTTGGAAGCTTCGTACATCTTGTATTTATCACTTCAATCAAACTCGTCCATACAACTAGATAAATGTTCATCAGTAAATTTGCAAAACTTGCTTTGGGAAGCTTCATGCATCTCATCTTCAATACTTACCTTATTTCGCCTATGTGACATTGAATAATTGATAAACGTTCATCAACTATAAATTATGTTTAATAAATATAATAATAATAATAAATACAGGTTATTCATTGTAAAAAACTAAGGTTTGCTATAACACTCCATTCATTCCTCTCATTAATTATGTAGAGGAATCATACTAATGGTTCATTATTTCAAATGTATAGTGAGATCTAATTTTCATATTTGCTTTTTGTAAATGAAATTAAAAATAAAATCAAGTTTGTGTTCATTAATGATAAAACAAAAGTGAAAAATTTTAACCGTAAAGAAATGACTCGCATTAAACCAGATGCATCGTAATCATTATTTGACTCGTTTTGATTTTTTTGACCTATTCAAGGACACATTTTGGGTAAAAGTTTATTCGTTTATTTGAAAGACTCGTTGCAATATTTCCATGGAATGAAACTGACTCCTAGTCTTTATTATCATCCTCAAAAGACAATGATTCGTTGTTGTCATTCGCTGTTTGTTGCTATTAATGTTATTGTTTAATGTTGCAATAATAATAATGTTTTCTCATAACAACTATTGATGGATGAATTGTTTGCGCTCTTCATATTAACATGAGTCCTTCTTTGGATTGGAGAATTGGTTGATATATATCAATGTTCATTTTTGTGTTGGTATCTATTGATGTGTTGTCAACATCCAGAGTCCATTGGTGTTGATGAGTCTATTGGTGTGACTGGAATATTTTTTCCATTTGGGATGAATCTGTTAGTCGTTGAAATAGCTTAAAGGGTTAGTTGTGACT